AGCAGGAATATTTTTGCTAAATATTTGGAAGATCTGTTGGAGGAATTCATAGATGATCATTGTGACATTCTGCTGTGTGACCTTGGTAATCTGCATGGGGAATCTGAAATCAGTTGTTTCACTGAGACATTGCTGAGAAAAATAGCTACTCATTTTGCACAGAATGTTCATGTTGTGGTAGTTCATTTTGATTTCTTGGAAAAGGCAAACTGGATGAGAGATTTTGATGTACAATGCCAATGTAATGCAAACTTGCAGTAAACTTCTCTGAACCAAGATAATCATGCTGATGAAGTAGTAAGCACTATTTTCCTTGCCTTTTTGCAGATCCGTAAGCTTGCAGTTTCTTGGTTGTCTTGTCTGTGCTCACATGCTTCTCTTTCATGTCTCTGAATTTATTTCCTCTGTATGACATGCTGGGTATTACTCATTTTGTAGAAATTGCATTTTTATCACCTATGATCCTTGCTAAGGTTTACTGTTTATTTCAGTTTCACACAGTTGCAAAAGTTTGCTCATTTCTACTTTAACTGTATTTAATTGAAAAAAAGAGTATGTGACTAAGGACATGGAGAGATTAGCAGGTTAGAATCTGGTATGGGCATTTCATCTTCTCGTGCTCTTACTAGAACAGGTAGTCTTACTTTATGCTGAGAAATTTTACTTTTATGCCTAAGTTGACAAAGACCTTGAAAAAGAATCACATCCCCAGCTAACAGATAGGCAGATATAGGCTCTAAGCAAGATGTAATTCTATTGATTTAAAAACAAATTTCTTTCTTTGGTAGGACAAATTGTTTTGTGTGGGCAGTGGCTTGAATTTTGTTAGCAAAATAACCCTGTTGCTAACACAAGCATTGACTCATTAGGGGCATATATTGTTATCACTATGTTGACAAAAAAAGAAGTATATACAGCTCTTAAGACAGATAACTTTTTCTCCAAAATCTCTGATATTTCACTGCTCAGGGAAGCTTTCTTCTACTTCACCACTGATGAATCAGCTTAAATTTTTAGAGCCAGAAAGGAAAGTGTGCTTTTATGTAAAGAAGAGGAATTTCTTACAATTCAGAGTAGGAGAACTTCTGTTCTGAAGATGCCTACTGTGAAGACAAGCTCTCTAGGAGACTGAATTGACTTGTGTTGGTAGCAAAACACCCTATCTTCAGGACCACCCCAGCCAGTGTAATGCTGGAACGTGTCTCCCAGTGTCTGGCCAGTGTACTTCTCTGAATGTCAAATCTTTGGGCCAGCTTGTAGTGTGACTGCAGGTAGCCACCAGCATGTTGATTCTAAGTGCCCAAAACAGTCTCAGCCTTTTGTGATGATGGTTCTGAGATAATACTATGTAAGCACTGTGGCTTGGTTCCTGAATATGCACTAGCAAAGTGCCATGTTTCTAGGTATCACAGGCTTCCTTTAGTGCAATACCAGCCCTTTTAACCAGTTTCTGTAATTACAGTATGAGAACTTACTGGTGATTGAAAAGGAAGACTGAGTTGACTATTAAGATAAGCAAAAGTTACAAGGCATTTAGCAGGCAGATTTGCTTATCTTCTTGTGGGAATCTTTAAGATTTGCTAAAGCTATATGTGAATCAAAGTGATTTAGTCACTGAAGTGTACAGAGTTTAGAAAGCCAGGGGACATACCCTTGTCTAATTCAGCCTGCATGTTTACAGGGATATTTGAAAAAGAATATGGAAAATCTTGAAGCTCAGTAACATTTGATGTAAGCAGCAAAGGAATACCTGGATGCTCTTGAGATTAGAAAGTATTTTGTTTTAAAAAAACCCAAAACCAACAGACGTGTTGGTGCTTGGGAGGACCTGTTATAATGTGACAGACTGAAAGATTGCTACGGATAAGCAGTTTCTTCAGCAAGCCACAGGATGGCTTCAGCGGTTATACAGTAGGACCCTACTAATATATTAATGCTCCTGTGGTTATTCTTGTTTTGCTACTGCTGATGCTAATGCTGTAGTAATATTGTCATATTGTAATAAATTGTCTACACTTGGAGACCTTCAGAGAAGTTAATTTATGAATGAAATTGTGGGGAGGATGGTTTTGTGCTTGAAAGACTGGACAGAGAATCAAGAAGGCTATGCTAGATTTAATGCATGGATTTACCAACAGATGTCTTTTGGTGAGACATTGAATTATTTTCTCTTTCAGTTCTTAGTTTTTTTTTAAAGATAGGATTATTACATTTCCCTTGCCTTTTGTTTGCTGTATCTGTTTGTATTCCTTAGCATGTTTAAGGTATGTATGATTTCTAGAGTGTAAGGGATTTAAACTTGGTTGGAGGCATTGCCTTTGTTATATATTTTTTAATTTTTTTTGAAAACTATGCACGTATCAAAATGATTTAAGCTAAACTGTAATTAGCATGTAGTGTTGACATGTATTGTTAGGAAGATCACAATATTTAATTGAAATTTAGTGTAATAAAAGATTACTGAATCTTGTACTACAGGGATAACTATGAGTTCTCCTGAAATTAGATCTATTACAAAAGATCCCAGGATGCAGAATGCATTTACTAGTCATTATGCACAGTCTAGAGCAGCAGCAAATATGTTTCTCTGACTTTTTTTTACGTTGACACAAAGTTAGTGTTAAAAAAGGCTATAGAGCATTTCTTTTTTAATTGAAGAGGCTATGGAGTCAGAAAATTCTGGCTTAATAGACTTGACTGAGCAGAATAAAAATAAGTAGCTGACTGAATCAGATCTTGATGCATGACTGGAAGCGTATAGTGAGAGATTAATTATGTATGCTGAGATCAAGTGGGTTCATTCAAGGCATCATATGAGAATAAATCACATCAAATTCACGTCTAGGTTACAGCTAGAGTAATCACATTAAGAATATCTATACAGTAATGCCAGAGAGATCAGAGTCTGATCCAAAAGCTTTACGACTGGGAACATGCTTTTAATATCCGGCCATGGTTTTCATAGTTCAGAATTAAATGTTGATCCATCTCACCTTTAACTTGACTCACTCTTTGCAGTAAAAATCTCAGGACAGAATTTGTTTGGTGTACATATGTATGGCTCTGTTGCATTAAATGGAACAACATTGATTTAAATTGAGTGAGGACCAGTCCTTTCATCTACTAAAGCAACACGAAAACCAGCTTAGTGTTGCATGGCAAAGCTGAGTCTAATTCACTGTTAAACAGTTTTATTCTGTTTACACACTGGAGAGCAGAGTTGCATCCCCAGTCATCCCTTGTTTTCCTTCCATTGTGATTTCATAGGTGATCCATGAGCTATTTGGATGTTGTGAAAAAATACTAAAATTTCAAGAGGAGATTAAGCAATAATTAAGAGTCTTTTAGCTGTTACTGGAGAAACTGAAGAAATTTTCTTTTCTCAAAAAAAAGAAAAAAAAAAAACAAACGAAAGGAAAAGGCACCAAAGGAAAACCCATTCACAGTTGCTTCTATACAAGCTGATTGTAGGTGAAAAAGAGAATATATATTTGTTGTGGAAGAACCTTTTGGCCATCATTAGGGATCAGAGACCTGTTGTTTTTGTGCTGCTTATCTAGGGACAAGGATGGTTGCTTCCCAGGGAAGCTGAGTTGTCTCTGCACAGTACTGTGTGTAACTCCCCTACTTTGAGAGCATCTGTTTTACCTACTGAAGATTACAATCTTCTAAATTAAAACTCTCCTTCCCTGAAAACACAGAGAGGAAGAAGAGATATACACATTCTACCTTGTAGTGCAAACCGTCCACCCTGAGACCAATCTCCTCACACTGACCCTTAACCCATTGCAGGCTGTTCCTGCAAATATGGAAATACTTTCCTTGTGAGAAGGAGAAGAATGGCTTGAATGACCAAATCACGAGCTATGGATCTATACTTTTGTTTCAGTGCTTCAGGTTTTTCTAAGATTTGCATTGTGTTCTTTTCTCTTACACACCTCTCTGGAGTTTGGTCAAGGGATCCAGAATCGCTGGAAGAAACATTTTCTTCTCTAGTGAGATAGAATATGTTTGTTGTTTTGTTGTGGTTTTTTTGTTTGTTTGTTTGTTTTTTTTTTTTTTTTTTAATAATAATAGTAATTTTAAAACCCACTGCATTACAGATTTTGTATGTCTGTAACAACTGTGAGCATCAAAATGTCTTGTACTGACATAGCTGTCATACTTCAGTGAAGGCTAAAGAACTTTTCTGGCAGTATGGATCCCATTTTGTGCCAAAGCAGCTGAGGACAGTGAAATTTTGTGGCTCAGGTGGGAGCTGAAAACAACATTCAGAAGTTAAAGCTGAAGCAACAGGTCTAGTACAAAGGACTAGGAGTCAAGTGAATGGAACTGAGATCCCAGATCTGAATTTACCTAGGTGATGCCTAGGTTCAAAGTGTCTTTTAGTTTTCCTGTATTTTAACTGCATCTTTACAAGGTAGATAAATCTAGTTACTACATGGCTTGGGAGTGTTACACAGCTTTATCCAGGCTCTACGTCAAGGCTGTCTAGTGGAAGCATTGTGAGAAATGCTGAAAAAAAGGGAAAAAAAAAAAAGGCCAAGGCTTGTTTTGAATCTGGATGACCCTAGTTTCTGAGAGAGAGGCTAGAGGCTACTTTGATTTCTGAATTGTTTTTGATTCACTGAATATTGCCCTATTTGCTTGCTTAAGAAGTAATGGTGATAAACTCTGTTAGTTTATAAGATAAAAACTTGCTTACACCCCACAATGTACAGCAGAGAGCCTTTGACAGGTGAAGGAGCCTTAATAACACTTGCCCCAACTGCTCCCAGCCCCATCACAGGAGCTATCAGCCCAACAAAGGCCCATCTCCAGAAACCCAGAGGAGCACTGAGGCACAGTAGGAGACAGGAACCCAAATTAATGACTTGGAGGAAAGGCCCATTCCAGGATTGTGCTGGGGCAACCTCACCCCCGTGGCCTGGGAGAGAAACGTTTCAAGATGAGTCAATGCTGGAGCACCTTACAGACTTATTGGGGGTTGCTGCCTAGAGGTACGGGACACTTTGTAGGATGCAGAGAAGGAGCATTTCAGGATTACACAGACCTGTTATGAGATGTTTAGGGGAGGAACCAAAG